TTTTGATGCATTCAGAGGTATCCCGAGAATTGAGACAAAATCTTATGCTTAGATGATTGGAGAATTGTGAATGATCTCAATCAGCTAACAAAAGAATCCAATTTTCTTCGTGCTTTCATCATTCCGTGAACTATGATTACCGTAATGATCCCAAAAAATCAACAAATCTCATAAAGTGCCATCTCGGGATGGATTTCCATTTCTAGGTGTGCAAGCAATTCAAGGTATAGAGCTGAACGTTGAATTGCCTAAAGTTCGAGCCGGTGGTCTTCTTTGGCAGATCCTAAATCGTATGGACACGAAGGTTTTGTTTTTCTATATCATTCAACTTTTAAAATTTCTGAAAAAGTTTCTCATTCTAACTTGTTAAAAAATGCTATCATATCTGCAGGTAAAATGCTTAAATAGTGTGACTGATAAGAAAACGAAGGAATGTAAATATCTGGACACGTTGAAATACTACGCATACTCTGTGGTAGGTTCGATCTACGAGTTTGATTAATAATGAAAATATGGGTTATGAAATGGAACAATGAACATAGTCACTCTTCCGAGTCCAATGCGAATTCACAGACAGCGATATCATTCGATCATTAGTTTGTTTCTTACCCGTCACTGATCAATTATCAATAATGATATTGATGTTGTTGGTGATAGTGAAACGATTACGTTTAATAATGCAAGAAGACTTTAATAATGATGTTAATCGCAACGGTGGTGATTACTTATTGCTAACAGTGTAGTAGTTATTCTGAGCATATGGTGAGCTGATGATAATAGTGAGAATAACCGAAACAGAGAAATTGCTGCCACATTCAGGCAGGGAATATGTTTGATGCGTTTATGGCGACGGCTCATCTGGAAACTCCATCAGCCCAAAATCGGACATCAGATGCATCGGCAATTCTGTTTGAGTTTTGGACTACGGCCGAGGGTGTCAACGCGATCAAGGTCATATCTAGGTTCCATTTGCAACTCTCACAGCAGTCGACATCCAACTAATGTCGTCGTTTCGTTCAAAATTGCTAATAAGAGTTTTGTTAATAGTCTCAAAATGCTTTCAAAAATTCCTCAGAGAGTAGTACAGGCGTTTCAGCGACTTCACTCGTTTTAGGTTTTCTATGTGGATTGTCCAACAAGCGATTTCAAATCATTGAATCCGCAAATTTGCAATGGTTAGTCATTACCTGAGAAGCAACTAATGAAAAAGATTCTATGTTTTTTGACTCAGTTCATCGAACGAAATAGATTCACAATGCAATCGGCAAGGTTTTTGTGATCACATTCCAGGAACAGCAAAGGATTTTTGTGTGCTGGATGAATTCAAAAAGAAAATGCAACCGTATAATCCGGGAGACATTGACGCTGTTCGTTCCATTTTTTCATTATGATTCCGCTTACCACACAGATTTCTGCTCATGATGAAGCAATCATGAGGCCATTCATAAGACAAAGTTGTCAGTGAGCGACCAGCTGAAATTCCATTTCAACTTCATTTGACCATCATTTGATCTCTCCTGATAACAAATATGTATTGTCACCAGCTCTCATATATTGCCACCATAATGCTAACTTGCTTCTAGTTATGTTCACAAGTACCGTCATCCTATCAAAATACAGAATCTCAGTCTGTTCGAGCATCGGAACAAAAAATTCAGTCGTGGACTATTGACAAACAACAAGAGGAACTCGACTCGACAGCAGCAGATGCCGCCGGAAGAAAACGTGAACTGATATTTGTGCATGCGGTACACAACATTTTTCAACGCTTCTCTTTGATTTTTGATGAAACAGTTTCCATAAATTTAAGTTGCTTCAAATGATGCATCCTTGTCGCGTCAGTATTGTTCAGTTATACGATCTCTTATGTGATCATCTTCTGTTGCATATAACCTCAATTCGAAGAGATTCTCATAGTTGCATAAGAAAATGTGAGATTTAAATAAGGTTCCTATTGAGTTACAACATCAAAAACCAGATTCTCGAATAATTCCTCGAAATTTCAGGCATGGCGTCATGGTGATCGAACTCCAAAAAG